ACTAAATCAAGAGAAAGAGAAAAAGAGTGTAGTGTATGAAATGAAATGAAACGGCCAAGAGCTGAACGGTTGCTGCTGCAAATGGGGGGGGAAACAGGATAGGATATACCTAGTGTAAGTTGGATAATGCAGTTGGTATACCCTACAGAGAGGGATGAAAAGAAGACAGACAAGGCACTTACACACTCAAGACATCAAAGACGAGCTGGCGTTGCGGGTTAGACGAAAAGCTGCGAGGTATGAGGTTTGAGATGGGAAGATGGGCAATGTCTCTGAATTGTAGGTAGTCGTAGACTCGTAGGTAGCGTAGGCACAGGCAGAAGAAGGTCTCTGGATCGTGTTGCGAACGCGTGGTGTTGGCGCAGAAGCGCCTTTCTACCAATCAGAGGTGGAAATAGGGGGGTCCAAGACGGGTGGATTCAGGATCGTCGAGACCAGGGGGGGCGGTCAGGGCAAGTGGGAAGCTCCAGTTCGTTCGTCTCTGCAGCCAGGGATCTCTCTTTGCGCTGCACTGGATTCGGAAGCAAGAGTCGCAGAGTAGCTTTTTTGGAATAAAACCTTCATGCAAATCTGAGGTTGGTCTCTGATTTGTTCAAGGCCGTCTCACCAGACAATGCCAGAATCCGCTCCTATGCAGTGCGACGCCGTGCTTTGCAGCCTATAAACACCAATCGTCGCGTCGGGATTCCAGGCCAAGACACTTTCAGAAGACGGGGGTTCGATCGAACAGGGGGGGCACTCAGCTCCAGCTCGAATCCCACCTGGTCTACCTACTTAAGGTACTAAAAAAGCCATCGCGCCTCTAGATGGTAGGTAGGTAAGGTAGGTAGGTACCTACCTAGGTAGTGTACATATAGTCGTGAGCTACCTACACCTACATATCTCGTTTACACGCGTAAATCGACTACCTACAGGGATGGAGAGTGGAGGATGGGGGGGTATGGAGGGTGGAGAGGGAGGGAAGACGAGAACTACGACGATGATGATGGCTTTCCCTTCCCGCGTCCATAAGAAAGCATATAATCCTCCCCTCCGTTCCATCCGTTGTGGCCTAGGTACTCATTTCACTACCCTCGTGTGGGAATGGCTGTCGCGAACCATTGCGTACTATAGCCAGGAATTGCTGGCCTGGGCAGCAGCCCTTATTAGAAGCGCGAGAAGATCAGCATGTCTTGGGATGGGACGGACGATGTGCCCAAACCACAGACAGAAAGACAGACTGGCAGACGGACAGGTAGGTTTAAAAAAAAAGTGTCATCTCAGTTGTCTCATGTCACTCAACCGCGACTTGTCTCAATCAAATCCATCGGGTTTAATGGGATTTTCCTCTGTTCGCGTTCTCTCCGCCCCTCCCTCTCCGCTCCCCCCCCCCCCCCCCCCCCTCTCTCATCCTTTCTCTCACCGCGTTGTGCTCTTCAGTGGAAGCCAGATCTACGGGAGGCTCCATTTACCAGCCACTGAACCACTCCTTTGCTCCGGTCACCTTTGCCCCGTTTGCTCTCACCGTAGGGGGGCAGCAAACGCTGTGGTTGCCAGCGCCGACCACCCGCAAAACTATGGGAGTTGATTCCACCCGTCGGGTCGCAAGACAGGTAGGCAGGCAGGTAGGTAGGTAGGCAACCAGCTGTTCCTCGTCCATATCGACTGGTCCTCCTTCCCTCTTTTCCCCCCCACGCGATTCGCGCATGGCCGCCGATGGGCAGACAGCCAACGAGGCGTACACGCAAGAGAATCGGTGTGAAGTGCATTGAGTATCAAGAGCCGACTAGGTCGCATGCGTGACGGCCACCTTAACTCATAACCTAGACCTATGATGGGGAAAGATTCGTCAACTAGCCTCGATAGCTCAAGCTAGCCACACTATACCTACCTAACCTAGGTAGTTTCTGTAAGCCCACGATGGTGCCTGTCGGTCTGTGAGCTTATTCTACAGAGTTCGGGGCTCCCGAATTTAGAAAAGGGGGGCCCTCTTAATGGGTCGCGGATGGTCAGCCGCGTGGGACGCGACGGATCATGGTGCAATGGCCACGGAAAAGTGGCAAATGATCCCATTTGAGGGGTATCTATCTATCTAATATTGAGGGCTTTTGGCTTTTACGAGATGGCCATCGCATCGCCCAGCCCTCGGAGACCTGCGTGTCGTCATAGTTATCCCATATATACATACTTAGTATCTGACGCAACGGGCGAGGCGAGGCCAGGACGCGATAATCAGGACTCTGAGCTGGCATATATTGATTGCATGGTGGCTATTCCCTATATGGGCGAGGGACGCCGTGGGCCGTCGATATACAGGCCTCGGCTCCCATCTCGGCATACGTATCCCATCGTTGGGTTTCTGATCGTCCATAGCTTAATCGAGCGAAGGGTCTAGGTAGCCATCATCGATGTTCCGTTCCATGCAAGCCCTTTAAGCTAGGTACCTACGTCTATCCGGTGATATCACGGGTGCATTGGTGTTCGTTGGCCCATCTTCCCATCACAGTCACTGCGCCAGAATGATACACAAAGACCTCAACGGGTGCATTGCGAGTGTCATATGGGTGCACGATAATCAATCTTAACTAGCCGGTTTCCTTGCAGAGTCATACATGATTTCCTGCGTGAACCAAATAGCCACAGTTCCGCGTCCGCCTAGGTAGGCAGTTACACGATGGTCTCAGGAACAGGTCTCCTATGATTAGGTATGTGGCACCTACCATACCCACGAGCTCTTCTAAATCCAGTAGCGGCCGGTCTACCACCAGTTGAAGTATGTCCTCTTGTGGTTGAGCCGGTCCGCCTCCTGGCACTTGTAAGAATAATATCCGGTCTTTTAAGTTCCGCATCTCATCAACCCCGGGTCATTTACTGTCTGTTTCTCTCAGCAGGCTGTACGCCCCTCGATGATTTGGCTGGAATAAGGTTCTACGAAGAGTGGCCAGAACGGGAGGTGAGACGGCGGGCGTCCTCGGACACGCTACTCCCGTGAGCTACACCCTCCATATACCTATCCAGGGGGGAAACTCTTTGCCCTCGACACTGAGCGGGACATTTCTGGCCTTTGCGTACTCAGTCATCCCGGTGCTCCCAGGCCCGGTAGCTTTCTACATATGCCGGTGGTGCATTCTTCTCGATACGCCGCGCCGCGTCGGTTGATGAGATAAATCTTTTCGGGCGTCGTGTGTGGCCTACCCAGATCGACGTGCAGTCTGGAACTGGAACATAAGGCATCCCTCCCTTTTGACGATCAAAGATGCTGTACGGCTTGCCCTGAAACCCGACAGGCGGGGTAAGGTTCGAGCAGATCGATTCCTTGGAGTCGAGGTGGGCCTCTTATTCTCTGCCGGACTGAAATAAGGCCTCATCTCGATTCAATTCTTTCTCGTTCTGGAATAGACAACGTCGGGTCTGAACCAGTTTAACTTCTTGTGCTTCCCAGTGTTGAATAGGGGTATGTCATCTATCACGGGTTGACATCTACGAAAGTTGGGAATCACATGTTGAGGAGCGTATTCTGTTCTCCAACTTGGACAACTAGTTCATACGGCGAAGACATCGAGGAGCCACCCTGACATCTGCTCTTCAGATCAGACTTGTAATCCTCGGATATGAAATGGAAACTTTGACACCTTGGGTAATGGCACCAGTTCTTGGGCAAAATCAGGAGCCATGGTGAATCCGCTACGACGGGAATTATGCCGGCCTATACGAACCTTTGTCCGAGTTGTCCATGACAGTATGGTATTGGACACGCCAGCCCTAAGCTTCGGGAGAAATACTGGAACGGATACACGTGGTGGACGAATTTCCAAGGCCACGATCGATTTAGCTAGAGGGGGGGGAAGAGAGCGTAACCGAGACGAACCTTCTCGGCCTCGAACATCCGCCGTTACGATGAGCTCAGAGGAATTATCCGGGCGAATAACACTGGCATAACCCCTATTCAAAGGAAACATGGACAAGTGGTTCACACAAACGCTGAAACGGATATCAACCTCTGGATCCTATAACTCAACCGCGAATATGGCATATCGGAGACGCGTTTCTAGCCCGGGAAATCTTCTGAAACACCCCAAGCTCCCCAACAACAGACGGACAGTCGCATGTGCAAACGGTTACCGCAACTTCCAACTAGATTGATCCATATAGGGAACTGTATATTACAAACCCTACTCTCAAGAGTCGTGGATCTTGCTGTGGGTGCTTACCCCAACGCGCACTTCTTCCGGCCTGTTGTTTGAATGTTGCGTCTTGGTCTTGAGATAGGTACGGCCATGTGGCCTTCAACCCTATGCCGGCGTGTCTTTCCTGGATCAGCACTTATTCATATATGGGCGAGTGAGTGACAGAGATACAGCTAACTAGTACACGGGAGCATGTGCATTGCCGGCAAGGTAAATGTCTGGCACTTTCATATCTTTGAGAACACTTCACGCAACATACATGATATACGCTTCATTGGCGAGCATGTACCTAGATTGTCGGTTACGGCATGCCGGCTTCCCTTCGTCTTGTGATGGTGGCTCGACTTGACGATGACACTGCCTAGTGCAACCACATCACGGCCACCTTCATTAGCTGGATAGACACTTATTATTCGTTACGGAGGAAAACCACTGGTCCCCAGTATCGCAATGAGTCTGCAGACTGCGAGTTGACATAAACGTCTTCTGGTCCGGGAAAGTACCGACCACAGAACGGCATATCCACATGACTGTCAGCAGTAGGTATCCCTTCGGGCTCGATCCGAATGGATTCATGATGAGTAAGACTTGATACTCTGTCAGATGGGATATTTCTCCATGGCCAGCGTAGTGCGTGTAAAACTCGGTACTTGAAAAGCCTCAACTCCCAAGGACAAAACTCTACATCGTCCTTTTGCAATAAATGGCGAGGGATCCAAACAGATGAGACCGAGTGTCTATTTCAGCTGAGCTCCAGGCCTGCCTTCCCTCCTCTCTAGCGTCTACGACGGATGGCACAAAACGAAAAGGGAAGAAGCAAAAAAATACTACTAATGGACGTTCTGGGAATTGAACCCAGGACCCTTTGTAGGCATTAGAGAAGTCAATGCAAAACAAATATCATACCCCTAGACCAAACGCCCGAGTGACGATGGCCTCGCCGTTATTTACACATATGCAAACTAAATGCGCAAAGTCTCTAATGTGTGGCCCACAGTAGGTCGTAAGCCCAGGGTCAATAATCCAATCGGTCTCGTTCCCCTTTGCAAGGTAGACCATCCGTAGTCCCGGGCCAGGACGAAATTATTAACCTTAGCCCATCCGCTTGAGGTCTAGATCGCGACCATGCTACTTTGTATGGCAATATTCTGCTTGGCGAGCAGGAGTTCAAAGTCGCCTCTCCCTTATTCATACCACATAAATAACTAGGATACAACACCGCGCCGTAGGCTAGCTGGAGACCCAAGTGCGCTCGACTGCCTAAATAAAACATGAAGTCCCCCCCTGAGCAGGAAGCTGTTGGGAAGCAGGCAGCGATGCTCTGAATTCCGAGGAGACCAAGAGAATGCCATGAGGCATTCAGCACATAAATAGGGAGTGATTCCGGAATGTGTATGTCTATCTACACATGATGTTGCTTCACCCATTAAGACGACCCCGACACATCGGCAGACAAACATTTCGCTGGAAGGGCCAATCTAGACACTTTACCATGGCGAACATGAACCCCTTTTCACGGCTTATGGGCCAGAAACAGCAGTCTACGCTTGCCCGGTTAGCTGTCTTACAGCCTGCCAGTGAGCGTGATGACCCGATTAAGATTGTCCTCACGGAAGCGAACCTGGCAGAGACGTCATATGAATGTGTCTCATACGACCACGCGGAAGACGCAGATACCGCCACCGTGTCGGTTGACGGGGATGACCAGGACGTCCCGAAAGCGCTAGAGAGTGCCCTCCGCACATTTCGCCGCAAGGAGAAGCCTCGGACGCTGTGGGCGGACCTGCTCGTCGGACACACCGTCGAGGAGCGCAGTGCGCAGTCAGCTGTCATCCGCCAAATACTAGAGAACGCAGAGAAGACTCTGTGCTGGATAGGTCCGGGCAAAGAATCGACGACGAAGGCATTCGAGACGATCCACGAAATGGCTAACCGCTGGACGCAGGCCTGCTTGCATGCTGGCATATCGGCCGACACCAACCTCAGTCGGATCACTATGCAGCAACTGGATATCGTCAGGTCTATGCTGAATAACTGCCGCTTCGACGATCTAAACTCGTTCGATTTTGCGCATTGGAAAGAGGTGTACGCAATCCTAGGCGCGCGGTACTGGAACTCGGTCCAGTGCATCCCCGAGATCGTGCTCGCCAAGCACGCCATCATCGTCTGCGGCCGCAGCAACATCCGCTGGCCGAACTACATCGCGGCCTCTCGCGCCATGCCCTTCTTCCAAGCCAAGTTCTTCCAGGTCCCGCTCCTGCCGAGCGTGAAGAAGGGGTTCGAGATCGCCAACTCGATCGAGCTCGCGGAGCGGCGGCGGCGGCTCGGCGAGACCATCGAGCTCTTCCCCATGATCCAGACCGCCCGCGACTGTGGCGCCAAGGACGTGAGGGAGTACGTGTTCTCGATGGTGCGCATCGCGACGCCTTCTGCGCGCATCAAGAGCCACAATCAGGGACCGCAGCCGCTGCCGGCGGTCGACTACACGAAGAGCGCGCAGCAGGTTTTCACGGAAGCGGCGCGCTACATCGTGCTCGAGCGGCAAGACCTAATGCTGTGGTATGGCGAGCGCGTGCCGTGCGCCAAGAAGCTGAAGGACCTGCCGAGCTGGGTGCCCGACTTTGGCGCGATGGCGTTGAAGGGCAGGGAGTACGACCCGCAGAACGGTCTTCGGCTGTGGTGGGACTCTCTCGCCCCCGTCAAGCCCATCACCGTTTCGGACGACGATGTGCTGCACGTCCAGGCTCATGCGCTAGACCGAGTCGCCTACGTCTCTCCTATATTCAACATAGGGAACTGTGGCCGCCTCTGCGTCGACGAGTTCCTCAAGCTACCGGCTCCCACAGGCGAGACAGTAGAGCAGAGGGATGAGCGGTTCTGGCGCACGCTCATCCTCAACATCGGGGGCCGCGGAAACACATTGCGCGACAACCTCCAGCCAAGCGCCGTCTCGGGCGCCAGCTTTCGCAGTCTAGTCGCGCAGGAGCGCGTACTGAAGGTGCTCGACTGCTCTCCCGACCAGCTCCGCACCCCCGAGATCCAGGCCCGCATAGGCAGCAGCCCCGAGGTCCAAGCCCTGCTCCCCCAGTGTGGCAAGAGTCAGCCTTACGAGGCATTGCTGGGCAAATACACCATCGGGCGGCGTTTCTTCCGCACCGAAGGCGGCCGCTTCGGCATGACGGCTGTGGAGGACATCGTCTGCGTCGATCCCACCCTGCGTGACGAAGAAGAGATCAAAGCCTCCTCCTCCTCCTCCTCCTCCTCTTCGCAGCAAGGTCCTTCTGATAAGCCTCGGGCGCCAGATTTCGGTAGCCTGCTTGCGGACCCGATGGCACGCATGATGATGGGCAGTTTCCAGGACTATCTTAGGCAGAAAGACCCTAATGCAGCGCGCGCATACGAGAAAGCCTTACGTGGCGAGCTGCCTGGGCAGCAACAGACCCCGAGCCGCATCAGAGGCGGAGTATCAGAAGGTGATGTTGTGGTTGCATTGGTTGGAGGCTTCTTCCCCTATGTGCTACGGCCAAGGGAGCCTGATGTAGGGGCGCAGCCAGAGAGGACAGACTCGACGTATGAGTTTGTGGGGGACTGCTATCTGCACGGCTCTATGGAGGGCGAGGACTTCCAGGTGCGGGGGCCAGGGGGGGGGGTATTTTACAGAACTGATACGTCTAAGCTCGTGGATATTTTGATCACATAGCCACTATATGCTGGGACGATGAAGACATGGTTGTTGAAGCAAGTTCACATACACGTTCTTGTCAACTATCCTGCAGGTTATGGAGCAGGTTGCCCGAAGGTACCTAGTCTATTAAAGAATATGTGCTGCCTAGGCTCTCTAAAGACTGCTTATGGTATGCGTTCCTGGCGAGAGCCTGCTTATTGACAGCGAAAGAATTATTCCCGAATCCTCACGGATTACCAAGGCTTTTGAGTGAGACCAGGCTTCTTACGTGGCATAAATACTACACAAGAAGCTTTCCTGGGAGTAACAGGGCGTCTGGCCTTCTTCAATAAGAGGCTATGGGAATAGCACGAGATCACGAAAAGAAGGCTGTGCCTTCAGACCCACAAGGAATTCGATAGTAATTGCTGCACTATTTCCTGTCTTCTATACTTATTCTTCAGCTGGTTGATCTGTATATGTAGGCAGATTCACCATCGAGTCTTATCAGGACCATATTGCTGTAACTTACCTCCTATTGGATGCTCGACAACCAACCGTTCCCATGGCTGCAGAGTGCATGGTTTTCGTGTAAGAGTTGCATAATGTGTAGTATTCACATATGCAGTCATTCTAGGTTCATCTACCCCGTGGGCATTCCTTTAGGTATCTTTAAACTCTGTCTTGCCTACCTATCACACGGCACTCAAAATGGCATCTAACGCCCTTATATATACTTGCATAACCTTCTAACACCTGTCTCCGGATTTCGAAACTGCGCTGCACTTTACTCACTATCCAAGTCAACATGGCGGATCCATTATCCATTGCAGCTGGTGTTGCCGGTCTTGCTACGTTTGCCAGCAATATTTTTTCTTGCTTGAAAAAGTATGGGAAGTCCGTCAAAAATGCACCTAAAGAGATTGAAGCCCTTGCAACGGAAATCAATCTGCTAGCAGGCGCTTTATATAGCCTTTCAAGTCTGATCGGGACGTTCCAGAACGAAATGCCTCATATACGAGACAAGTTGCATCACGTCGATGCCTGTAAAGACATATTGTCAAGTATTCACAAGAGATTGACCGATTTCGATGCGAAAAATCCTACCCAAAGACTCAAATGGCCTTTTGATTCAAAAGCGATGAGGACACTGCTAGATAATCTCACACGACAAAAACAAAGCATTCACACGGCCCTATCTGCTACTTCTGCAGAGCTTTTACTCCAGTCGCTATCTCGACAGGAGAAATTGATCACAGAAACACGAGCGGAGTTCGGAGAGGTTTACAAGATAATAAGTCGAGTTCAAGCCAATTCTCGGAGCCAGGAAATCATGACAACGTTCCTCAAATGCAACCCTCAGACAAGCTACGAGAGGAGCCTTACCACACGACATCCAAAAACCGGACTATGGCTCACGAGGCTTCCTACCTTCCAGTCATGGCTGTCCAAGCCAGGAGAAAAGCTCTGGTTCAGTGGAATTCCTGGGGCGGGGAAAACGGTCCTAGCAGGCACCATTATTGAGGCATCATTGTCGAGATGTAATGAAAAGGTTGCTGCAACCTTTTTCTTCTGCGACTACAGAGATGAGTCTACCCAAAACGCAGTCAACATCTTGAGCACGGTGGCGTATCAAATCGCAATCCAGAATCCGGAAGCGTACAAGATCTTGGAAGCATATAATGCAGAACTCAACCCCAGCACTTCTCTTCCAAGGAAACCCTCAGAAACGGGGTTAGCCAAGATTATAGGAGAGATGGCTAAGATATATGATCAATTGTTCCTGATCATCGACGGGCTAGATGAATGTGGCAAACAGACTGATGATGTACTTGGGATCATCAGTTCTATTTGTAGAAACTCGGATAAAACATCGGTAGCGCTTCTTAGTCGCGACGAACTGAATATCAGAGAGAAACTCGAATCTGAGTTTAGAAATGAGGAGATTAGCGCCCATACCGAAGACATAACAGAGTATGTCACAACTGAGATCGAACACAGGATACAGATTGGAAGGCTGCATATTGGAGATATTAGCCTGAAGGACGAGATATGTCAGGGTTTAGTTGATGGTGCACAGGGGATGTAAGTATCTAAGGTTTTGTCTCTTCTTGTGCCCCTTCCTGCATATCAAATGAGCTAACATTTGTTACTTTGAAGGTTCCGTTGGGTTACTTGTCAACTAGACCAGCTGGCCGACTGCTGTTCTGACAGGCAATGCCGCGAAGCCTTGAAAAAGCTGCCACCGACACTCAACGA